CCCCGGCCCTTAGCCCCGAGGCTGCCCCGGGAAGGCCGGCGGCGGTCACTCACCCGCAGGCTCTCCGAGCGCCCCAGACGCCCCGACAGCCTGGACCCCGAGGCCAAGGACAGAGACAGAGGCCAGGACAGAGACAAGGACAGGGAGACCAAGACAGGCACAGGGACAGGGGAGGCCAGGACAGGGACAGTGGAGGCCAGGATAGGAACAGGGAGACAAGGACAGGGATAGGGACAGTGGAGGCCAGGTCAGGGACAGGGGAGACCAGGACAGGCACAGGGGAGACCAGCACAGGGACAAAGGAGGCCAGGCCAGGGACAGGGACAGAGACCAAGATCAAACATGCAACAGAAGAGAGAGAAGAGTCAGGAGCAGTGGGATTTTTGGGGTGCTGGACAGCGAGGGGAGGAGGAGGGATACTGAACGGGGCGGTGATGGGGACCCATCTGGCATACAGGACTGACCCCCTCCCTTCCCTGAGGCAGAGGGACAGGGGCAGAGGGGGAAGGGTTTGATACTTAGCTCTTCAACTGGGAGGGTGATGTCCCCGCCCACCCCTCGCAGGGGGTGAAGGGGAGGGGGTGGCCATGGGGAGGGAGAGGGGCTGGGAGAAATGGGGGAGGGCTAGCCCTCCCCCGACCCAGGGCCCAGGCACCCACCTCTTCCACTTTCTGGGGAGAGAGGGCACAGGGTCAGAGGTGGGACAGAGGGAACCAACCCACCCCTACCCCCCACCAGTGGGTCCCCAAGCAGCGCACAAGGACAGGCAGGGGGCAGAGCCTGCCCCCCAACTGTGAGGGGGACAGGGCCCCCAGGGCACGGAGCGGAGAAAGGGGATGAAGGACACTAGTAGCAGGAGCCAGGCGGGCAGGCAAGGGCTCTGAGGAGAAGGGGTGGAAAAATGAGAGGCTGGGAGAAGCCAAGGGAGGGAAGAGCAAGGGAGAGGAGGGAGGGGAAGGGGAAGAAAACCTTCAAGGAGAGGCTCGGCAGGTGGGGTACCCACAAGGACACTAGGAGAGAAGGGAGGAGAAACAGCAGCAAACAAGGGGAGGAAGGAGGGGTGGAAAGAGGAAGGAGGAGAAAAGGAAAAAGGAAAGGAGCGAGGAAGACCCGGAGGAAAGCAGGAAGGGCAGGCAGCGTAGACGCGGCTGGGGACAGGCAGTGCCCAGTGGCAGCGGCGACCTCCACGCGCCCCCCCAGCCCTGGTGCGCTGAGCCGCCCCGCAGCACCCCAGCCGGGCACCTCTCCGTCTCAGCACCCTCTTCTGTGCTCTCCGGGGGCACCAAGGGTTCCAGGCTTATCGGGCCCTGTGAGGGTGGGTCCCCCAGTTCCAGTGGGGCATCAACACCTGCAGGGGGGACAGGGCTGTGGGACCGGTTGGAGGCTCCTGGGACTGCAGACCCAACCCCCCGGGGGCCTCAGTGTCCCGGCACCCGGGGGCTGGCAGACTTCACGCAGTGGTTCCAGTCAGACTTCAAAGGGGGACAGACAGGGGCTCAGATCACTGAGAACACAGGCGGGGGCAGCTGGGGCCTAGGGGACGGAGGTGCCTGAGGACTAGGGCGCCCCTACACATACCCCCGGCCGGTGGAAGGGGATAGCGGGGATGGAGCCTCCGGCCCGTTCATTCTCTGAACCCTCAGGTTTCCTCAAAAAGTAGGGGGGAAAAAAGAGGAAGTAGGGCTCAGAGAGGGGAGAGATTTCCAAAAAATAACATGAGGGCCAGTGATTTAGCTCAGTGGTTCTGCCGCCTGCCTGTAAACACAGGTCCTGAGTTCAATCCCTGGTACCAAAAACAAACAAACCAACAAAATGTAACATGAGTGAGCTGCAGAGTGGGGATTTGAACCCAGGCCAGGACAAGCAGCTGTATGAGATCCAAGGGTCTAAGGACCACGCAGCTCTGAGGGGCTTGAGGAATGGGTCTCACGACCGTGGGGCACATGAGGGTTGACCTGATACCACTCAGAGAGCTTCTGGGAAACCAAGCCCAGTGGCTGACAGAAATCCAATGCAAGGATAGGGGACCTGGAACCAGAAGCAAGGTCAGAGCCCAGAAAGGAAGACATGATGGTTTTCTTTTTTGTTTGTTTGTTTTTTTGAGACAGGGTCTCCCTATGTAGTTGAGACTGACCTGGAACTCACTACGTAGCCCAGGCTGGTCTCTAACTCACAGTGATCCTCCTGCCTCAGCCTCCCAAGTGCTAGGATTACAGGCGTGAGCCACCACGCCCGGCTGACATGATGGTCATTAATACCAGAGGCCAGAAAGGGGAGAAGGAAAAAGAGGGCTTAGCCTGGACAATGGTACTTGCGCCCTAGTCCCAGAAACTCACCAGGTTCCCGTTCTGGGCAGTCCCCAGAAAGAGGGTGCAGAGACACTCCAGAGGTGTCTGGGCCAGGAGTCCCTGGGTTCCGGTCCCGAGAGGAGATCCCCAGTCCTCCCTTCCGGTCTGTAGGGCCCGGCTTCTCAGCTGCGGAGACAGCATGGGATAAGAACGGCAAATGAGAGAGCAATGACTCCGATCTACAGCTACCTGGAGGAACCACAGGGATCTATGATGGTGCTCCTGCCCCTCTTCCCTATCACAGGAGAGTCCTCCTCCCGCAGACTTGAGGGTCCAGGCCAAAGCCTTTCCTCTCTAAGGTCCCAGGATGGATGGCTACAGGTCCATTACCATCAACCTCGCTTTTGAGGTGTCGAAAATCTGGAGCTGAAATGACAGAGGGATAGTGAGGCGAGGGTGGTTGAGGATAGGGAGGCAGAAGGAGGCAGAGGCCAGAGCCGCCTTACCCTGGTTTTCTCCCCGGTTCCAGCGGGCAGCATCCAGGATACTGCTCAGTCCTTTCTTGGTCTTGGGAGGCTCATCTGACCGCCGGTTGCCCATCACCTGCAGAAAGGGGGAGAAGGGATGGTAGCATTTTCAAGATGCACAAAGCAGAATGGAACCCCAAGTGCCCAGGTCTGAGTTCCCTGGGGGGGGCGCTATGGAGAAGAGAGGGCCAGGTTTGGTCAGGACCTTTTTCCGGAAGAAATTCCTCCCGGACTTCTTATCCCCACTCTTGGTCCGGACCCCAAGGTGGCGCATGTACAGGCTGATGGCGGTGACCACAGCAGCACTGCAGGGAGTGAACAGTGAGGGCCCCATCACACACAGGCAGGCACATGGACACCTGCCTTTCCCTCCCTATCCCACAACCACTTCCTGGGGCTCTGGGGAAGTGGGGAGGGCTCCCCAGGACAGGGCCAGGGAGTCCAGGACCCAGGCCCTCTTGGGCCCAGGGGACCAACCACCTCTCCCCACCATGGTTTCCCCCGTCACCTCTTGTCTTCATCGCTCGAGATCGTATGTCTGTGGGGAGAAAAAAGAAGTTTGTGACAAAGTTGCAAAGTCCAGGGTTTTTGTCACCCTGCGCATACCTCCACAGTACCGCTCCTGGGACAGAGAGGTAAGGGGAGGCAGAGGAGGGACTGCCATGGCTGGGAAGGGGCTCTCCTCCACATGGGTGGGGAGCATAAGGAGGACCAAGTGCCAGGCCTGAACACAGAACTGCAGAAGACCCAGAAACCGCAAAGGACTCCAAAGGTGGAAGGGAGGCCGAGGGGCGGGGAAGAGCCCAAGTGCTAAGAAAGGCGCTCTGACACCAGGAGGGCACTGGCAAACTGGGGTGCAACCCGCTGGGGTGGCCCGGGGTGCCCACTCGCTGCCCACTCACTGCATCTCCTCCAGGTGGCTCAGCAGCCGCTCTGCCACGTGCCGCTCCCGGGCCTCGTAGCTGGCTCTGTCACGCCCGACCCAGGCCTCTAGCTGGGACAGCTCCTGCTCCCAGAGAGTCATGCCCATGAGCCGCTTGGAGCGGAAGTCCTCCAGCTGCCGGCCCACCGTTGCCTGCTGGAACTGCACCACCTCCTGCACGAACCGCCGCTGGATGTCCTCAGAGAGGAGGTCAGGCCGTGTGCGGTCTGCAGAGACACACAGGGTGCTGGGGCCAATTCCCTGGGCTTGGCTCCAACCTGGTTGGACCACAGTCCCCACTCGCCCGTGGACTCCGACAGCCATGCTTCCTCGGGCTGCCACCATCCAGAAAGAACAAACGAATGAATTCTGGCCTCTATCCCTGGCGTCCCTGCCGAAGATCCTCCCTCATCCCCAGGGCCCTCCTGTGTCTTTACCGAGTTCAAAGGCAACGCTGGGAGGGACTGGTACCCGCAGGACCTGCTCAGGGGAGAGACTGGCGTGAGAGAGGCCCTGGGAGCCACGGGGATGCAGGCCAGGAAGCCTGGTGGGGATGAGGGTCTGAGAGAGGATCCAGAGGAGGGCCCAGGTTGACAGTTGCCTCAGTGGTCAGAGGTCAGGAGGCACATGGTGGCTCCCCAGGGCCAACAAGGAGTTGGGGACGGGGTGGCTTGAAGGTGTCTCTCACCGCAGTCTTGTCCAGGAAGCTGTGGTAGAAGTCAACAAAAGCCTTCTTGGCCTCCTTGGGGCCCAGGGAGCACAGCATGTCTGCGTGCAGGCAGCAGAGCTGAAGCGACAAAGAACGTGGCTCTCCTCCCTCCCGGCCCACCAGCTACCCCATGCCACCTCCTCTCGCTGCTATGACTGGCACATCCCAGACACAGCCCTAAAGCCTTGACATGCATTAATTAACCTGCTCACTCACAGGGACCACCCTTATCCCCATTTTACAGATGGAGAACTGAGCTCAGGATGACGGTTCAAGGTCACACAGCTGGTGAGCAGCAAGGGTGAAATCTGAAAAGTCTGTGCTGTACCCTATGGTCTAGAAATATAAGGAACTAGAAATTGTGTGTGTGGGGGGCGGTGACAGGTAGGTTCTGATTCCTGCATCATCAGATGGGGACTACTGCACAGCAAAGGCTCGGTAAATAAATGGAGGAGCACCAGTGTTCTGGAGAACGCAGACATGGGAGAGACTGGTAATTTCCCGATTGTTTCTGAGTTTCTTTTCCTGCCAGTCGCTGAAGCTTGGCATCAGGGTCACCAGCCTCTGCCGGTCAATGTGCCCTTTCTGTATCCCAGGTGCCCTCCTTATTACTTCTTTCAGGCTTCTAGTTTTCTGGAGGGACCCACAGTGAATTCCCCACAGCACAATGCTCCGAATACTTCCTGGCCCTTGGCTTGGGCTAGACTGGGTCTTTCAGGGACGGGGCCCTTGTCGACAGACCCGTTAGCCAATCCTGTGGCTTCTCCTCCATAAATCACCTGCTGAGGAGTCTGCTAGACCCTGCAGGTGTTTCTCACGGTGTGGTCCTGCATGTACAACTCCTGGGCAACTTCTGTGTGGTGTGGGCAGTCTCTGGGTTAGTAATTACACCTTGTCCACTTGATGACAGGCTGCTTGGGGTGGTTTCGTTTCTGGATCAAGGCCTGGGTGTCATCTAGGTCTGAGATGACTAATAGCTTTCCCCCAGACACCAGCCCTGAATCCTGCCGGGTGATACCCGCCAAGAAGGCGCTGTTTGGTCCCCCTCCGGGGTCCGCAGGAAGGGTACTGTCACAGATGTTGCTCTGGGAAAGAGGGGGACAGGACATGGATTCTGCCACACTGCTGGGTTCTCTGCTGCTGTCTGCACGGCCCTGCGGTGTGCGCAGGGCACTTACTTGCTTGTCTAGATCACATGGTACACCTTGCCTCTCCTCTGTGCCACTGTCTCTAGATCCTGTGCTGCATCTTCTGGAACTGGTTCTCCAAACCGTTCCAGCTCACTTTCATTGCTCTGGCCCTCTGAAAGCCCTGGCCTATCCCAGCCTCAACCCTCCCGGCCTCCCCAGCCACACCCTCACCAGGGGTGCTGGCTCAAACTGCAGGGCCACATGCTGCAGGAGGGCCATGAGGTGAGCCGGGCGCCGCTTCACCTGCTCCACGTTCTGGAACTGGCTGCTTTGCTCCTCTGAGGGCTGGGTGTGGAAAAGGAAGCTGAGTGCCGTGGGCTGGAGCGGCGGCCTTAGGCCTAACCCTACTTGGTCCGCAGCACCTTTCAAATGAACCCAAGCTGGGGAAGGTCGTGGAAGCAGTGCTGCATCCAGGCCGTAATGGTGACAGTAAGGGCAGGTGCTTGGGGAGAAGGGATGAGATGTGGCGTGAACACTGGCGGCAGAAATCAGAAGAGAAGGAATGGGGATCCATACAGGGGACAGTGACAAACTGGGGCTAGAGGAAGGGTGGGAGTCCATGCAGGATGGGGGCCCTGAGGGGGGAAGAAGAGGAAGTTGGTACTAGGAAGGTGACAGGGCAAGGGGACACATCTGAGCACAGAGAAGTGGCCCTGCCGTGGGAGGGACGGTACTGAGGGAAGGCAGAAGCTTTTCTACCCCAACTCTGCTCACCGCCTCCAGCTCATTCTCAAAATCCTCGTCCTCAGCCCCGATGATGCTGACGGGCACCAGGCCGGGCCGGGGGAGCCCTGAGGCCTGTAGAAGGGGAGAGGATTCAGTCCACAGGGCTCCCTAACTCGCAGGCCCCAAGTCTGCTCACCCTTGCTCCCTTGCTCCCTTGCTCCCTGCACTCACCGCCCGAGGGGCGACGTCTTCCATCTCCAGGGCTCCGCAGGGCTGGGGAGAGGAGGGGCTGTGGTTATGGGCGGCAGGAGGAGGCACACAGAGGCAGTTACTCATAGATTCCTGGCCCAGGTGTGAAGGTGAGTAAACAGCCACCCCCTATCCCAGCCTCTGCAGCTCAATGAGGCCTCTGTGCCTCTGTGTGGCACAAAGAGCCCTTCAGAGGCCAGCCAGGGGGTGGGGAGTACAAGGACTGCAGCCTGGCAGGGAGTGTGGGCTGGAGGTCCAAAGGCCTGGGTCCCTGAGAGGGCTGTAGGCAAAAGCAGGCGTTCTGGGACCCCAAAGAGGTGGAACCAAGGGGCTGGGGGCTGGTCCCCAAGACAGGGGGCCCTCTAGACAAGCAGAGTCAATGGAAGGGTTAAAGGGTAGGTTGGAAGGAGAATGGGCTGTTGGGGGCTCTCCTCTGATCTGTGACAGGCCTAGGCCAGGATGTTGCCTCTGAACCCACCAGCCCCACTTCCTCTGACAGGAAGTCAAATGGCAAACCCCCAACCCCCAGCTCTCTCCACGCAAGCAAACAAAACTGAACCACCTCTCTCAGGGACCCAAAGTCCGGAACTCAGCGATTCTTCTTTTCCTTAGGCACCACCTATCTCTGCTTTCTGGTTCTCAAAAGAAGGGGTCTTTGACAGCCACTCTCAAGGTGTACACATCTCCCTCCCTCCATCCTTGTCTTGCCTGCTCCCCCACGCTGTCACTGCCTGGGGTCTGTGCCTCTTCTCTCCCGATTTTCAGTTTTTCTTCCTGTCTTCCCTCATCCCTGCCTCTTCTCTCTTCCTCCCGTCTGTGCCCCTGTGCTTCCACTGCCCCGAGTCTCTGGCTGTCTCACCTCTCTCCCCCAACTCTTGTCTTTACCATGTCCGTCTCCCCTTCAGTCTCCACATCTTCCTCAATCTTTCCAAGGATGACATCCGTGTCCCTAATTAGTCTGACTAATCCCATGGGAGCTGTGTCTGTGGGGAAGGAGCTGTAGAAAGAGGAATGGGGTTGACCAGTAGGGGGCGGCTCCCCAAACCCCAAAGCTATTTATATCTCTGACTGCCTGGGATCCACCCTTTTCCCTTTTCCATGGGCCTCCTCCCCAGCAGTCAGTAAATGGTAGCTACGATTTCGATTATGATTATGAAACAATGATGCTTTCTGGAGTGTTCAAATGCCATCCTGTGGGTCCACCCGAGCAGGCTTGATTTTTACTCTTTTTCATAAAAAGTTTATCTCTCCACCATCCAGGCTTGGGTAATTTCAAGCTGTTTGTTAAATGGTAACATAAATAAATTTTCAAACCAAGGCAGAAAAAAAGTAGTAATTATTTATTACGAGGACCAAGCTCACCTAGCCCTCACAGTGTGTTAGGCATTGCTTTAAGTGCTTGCTATGTATTAACTCAGTTAACTCCCCAAACCACAAACACCCCCATGCCGGTCTCATTCCTAAAAGAGATGGAGATGCCTTCACTAGGCCAGCAGCCACAACTTCTGGGCTGGAGAACATGCCCAAGGACATGGAGGGCCCATGTGTATCTCACCAGGAGGTAGAAAGGTTCAACTGAGGCAGGGGATCCCAAAGGAACAAAAGAGGAGCTGAGAGTACAGCTCAGTGGCAGAACGCTTGTCTAGCATGCATGAGGCCCTGGGTTCAATCCCGAGCATTGCAAAATGAAACAAAACTAAACAAAAATAAATAAATAAGTGCACACAGGCTCAGTGCCAGGCCTTCAATCCTGTGCTTGACAAGCATTATCTCCTTTTTTTAAATTCTGCAGTTCAGGGATGGAACCCAGGGTCTTGCACATGTTAGGCAAGTGCTCTGTCAATGAGCTACATCCCTAGACATTTCAAATTTTATTTTGAGAGAAAATCTTGCTAAGTGTCCCAGGCTGGCCTCAAACTTTCAATCCTCCTACTTCAGCCTCCCCAGTAGCTAGGATTACAGGTGTGTGCCACTTTTCCCAGCTAAGCATTACGTCCTTATTCCTCATCACAGTAATACAAAATAATAGCTAGCACTTAAAGTGTATTTAGTACGTGTCAGACACAGCATTATTGGTTTCAAGTGTTAATTCATTTAATTCTCTCAGTGACTTCACTGCACTAGTATTATTCTGGTTTGTTTTATTTTTCTTATTTTCTTGGGCCTCTATTATTCTTATCTCCATTCTATGGAGTTAGAAACTGAAGTACAGTTCATAAAGGACAGAGCAGCATTCAGACCCTAAGACTCTGGCTCTACACTTTATGCATGTAACAGACTGTGTTGCTTCTAACTTGGGGACTTGCCCCCCCAACTCCATCCTTAAAAGACTAAAATCTGAATCAAAGCTCTTGGATGCATCAGGTCTCCTTATGGAGCCTGGGAAGGTCAGGGGTATGTGGCTCCTGTGGCCTGAGCAGGAACTCAGGTTGGACCTAGCTGTTCCACAGAGGATTGGGGCTCACAGAGGACTGGGGGTAGGGTGAGAGGGGCGCGTTTAGGGTATGGGAGGTGAGGGGGTCCTGCCAAGGCTGGGGAAATACGGAGATGTCAGAGGACAGATCTGTAAGCAATGACAAAGCCTGAGGTCCAGCAGAGGGAGCACCGCAAGCAGGAGGTTCTGAGGGCTCCGGACAGGTTTAAATTCCATGAGGTAGGGGGTCCTGAAGCGAAGTGAGTGCACATGGGAATCTGGGTTTTATGCAAGGCTGAGGGTCTCGAAGCTATTGAACAGATGACTCAGGGTCTCCAAGCACCTCTGGGATTCTTTAAGAACCTCATATGGGCCCCTGGAATATATACAGCCCCCAGATTCTATTTCACACACTGTGGGTCTAAAGAATACCGGAATCAATTGGATCATGATTCTATACAGAAAGCAGCTAGTCGATGGAGCCTAAAAAAGGGAGCTGAATTCTGTAGAGGTGTATGGTGGGTCTCGGGCCCGGAACTCTAGATCTATGAGAATTCCACGTTATAAGAAGACGGGTCCCTACGGGAGGCCAGCTGAAACCTGGAGGGTCTGTGAGACCTTGTAACCTATGTGGAAAGTTCGGCGGGTCTTCACGTACCCCAAATCTCACATGAGACGTGGCGGTCTATACCGGCCCCAAGTCCTACAGTGGAAGTGGCGCTGTGCGAAGCCGGGGATGACTTGCAGAGTCAGGGTCTTATGTCCGCCAGGGGCCGCGTCCCTCACCTGCTCCGGTGGGAAGAGAAGCCACTGCAGCCGCCAGAACCGAAGCCTCCGTTCGTGGGCTCCGGACTTCCCCACCCCGCCGCCGAGTCTCTCTAGCTACCTGAAAGGCCACCTTTGCGCCCAGCTCCACTCCTCCAGCTTGCCGCTCTAGCCAGGCTCCTCCTAGGCTCCTACCCTGGAGACTCTACTCCTCCTCTGGCCTCTCTAGCGCTCCACTCCGCCACGCTGGCCAGATAGAGCCGCTCTGGCCTGTCTAGGAGGGCCGGCGTTTCCGCATCTCGACTGCCCCTGTCACTCTTCCGGCCCCCGCCCCCGCCGGCGGCAGAGGGCTCCTACACTAGTCAGGGCTCAATCCGAGATCTTCGAATTACTGAAACTCCGATTTTGCGCTGAGGCTCTCCACCTTATTTGCCTTCCCAACTCGGGACCAGCTGAATCCCCAAAGCTCGTATATCAATTCCCTCCGCAGCCCTGTCATCTCCTTCAACTGGAGCCAGAGAGCAAAATCTTAGGTTAGAGCATAGCTTTCCCTCTGACATCAAAGTAACTTCCAAACAAAAGCAGCAGCTCAGTGGTTCCGCCGCCTGCCTTGCAAGCGCAAGGGCCCGAGTTCGATCCCCGGTACAAAAATAAATAAATAACTCCCACAAAACAAAAAACAATTACTTCTCTCCAGGCCTCAGGCTTCCCAGCTCTCTTCCCTAACACATAGTGACCCCCAAGAACAGCTTCGCAAAAAACGCTTTCAACCAGGCATAGTGGCTAACGCCTGTCATCCTAACAGCTCCTTGGGAGGCTGAAGCAGGAGGACCTCCGAAAATTCGAGGCTAGCCTGATTGAGTTCAAGGCGGGGCCTTGTTTCAACAAAATAAAACGAAACAAAAACCCTCTCAAAAGTCTCTGCAACTCAGCTCCACAGTTGCTCAAGGAGTTATTGTTTTTCTTCTATATAGCCCCAAAACACCCAAGGTTGGAGGACAGGATTAAGCGGGAAGCTCCTACGAGTTCAAATCCCAACTGCACACTGTCTCACGAAGTGTCTCCGTGGCGCGAGGCAGATCAGGCTCCCCGGGCCTCAGTTTTTCACCCCGTACAATGGGTGTGCGCGCCCCGTCTCCATCAAATCTCTGAGACTTGACCGCGGTCTCGAACCATTCATCCCCACCTACTAGGTACTTGGCAAATGTTAATCACCTCTTTGCCCCTTAGACAGATGGGGAAACTGAGGCCCGCGCGGGGTGGGGCGGTCGTTGGCTACGGGCCGCAGGAGG